TGCTCTGTCTCTCCCTGTCTTCAAAATAAACATTAAAAAAAAAAAAAAAAAAAAGATATCCTCACTATTCTCAGAGGAGACCAAATGAATTAACCAAGCCAGACATTTTCCCTGGTCAGTGCAACGGCTCATCACTCATCATCCCTCCTTATACCATGTTTGAGAAGCAGAAATTTCAATCTAAACAATTCAGTCAGAGATATCCTTATAAGCAGAAAAAGACACTTCAGGGAAGCTCAGGTACTACTATGAGTTGGAGCAGGCTGTTCTCCTAGAACTGTTTTAATGACAGCTATTCTTCACATTCAACACTCTTCAATGTAAGAGTCTCCTATATATTTCCATCACGACATAAACTCTGCCATTTTATTTACCTCACTTTAACAGTTATTTTCTCAGAAGTCTTTTGCCTGGAATGATAGAACAGAGACTAAGAGCGAGCCAAGATGGGTTGCATTTCAAAAATAACAAATAATTGTCCCCTTTTGTAAGCGAATTATCATACAAAAATGTTAATAGTTCTCAGGCCAGTCTGATTTTCCAAGGGAATGTAAGGTAAGAGTCAGGCAAAAAGAAAAGGAAGAGCTTTATGGGCACTTTCCTGACTCTCACCGCCACGTGACTGATGTCAGGATGAAAAGCAGAGGCTGGGGGCTTTCAAGCGATGGTAGATTAATAATGACATGGCCTTGACTTCCCAGAGGTAAAGGTTATGAAACACTCTAGGGTAAGTGGGCTTCCAATTTCATACTCTCAGAGTGAATGACAGCAACTGATGGTTTTTCTCTCAGAAACACTGCAATGCTTCAACACACAGCTGTCACCTCCCTGTCCCAGTTTCTGAAATTCATCTGAACATGTTTATTCCTGAGCCTGCTTATGCCAGTCAGACCACAGAAGATAAGGTGGTCCTAAACACTAATGCACAGAAGCTAACTAAAAAAGACAAAGGTGAAGGGCTGGACTAGCAAAGGGTAGCCATTTTAGCACATAATAATAGAGACACTCCCAACACTCCCACACACATAACAAAAAATACACTTCCCAATACAACCATCTCACCTACTCTAAAAACTTTTCAACTGTGAGATCAGAATCAACTTTCTAGGGCCAAGAGGATGCCAGGAAATTTAAAGCTACATGAGATTTAGAGACCACCAGGAACTATATCTCCTATCTTCCCAGGATTTGAAGTCCCCAAACACAGCTCAGAACCAAACACTCTTCTGAGTCACGAGCTCCCATCACTTTTTCTCTTTATCTAAATCAAGTTCCTTCCCCAACCCCCACTCCTCTCCAACCCCAGAGGAGGTCGTCTCGGTCTTGATCTAGCTGATTGTAGGACAAAGCAAGGCAGGTGGAGGAAATGAAGGCTTCACACTTGAGACCCCCGGAAACCAAGTTTCTATTAAAAGTCCCCACCCTCCCTCCCTTAAAAGCCAGGAAGCTGCTGCTTTTAAGGATAAGTGATGCAGAGCTTGGCAGAAATGACAAGAAGTCAGTAGAGGGAAGCTAAAAACTTTGAGGGGAAGTAAATGTGGTCTTAACCAAATATACAGAGAACGAAGGATGATAGTTACCTGAGCATTCAGAAATTAGAATGGGCACTAGGAAAGCAGATTCTTCTCACCTGTAATATACACACACACGCGCGCGTGCGCACACACACACACGTATTTTAATGTTAAGAGCTACCAACATGGAGCTCGAACTCACGACCCAAGTCACATGCTCTACCAACTGAGATAGCTAGGCACCCCATCTGCAATATTTTAAAATGCAGATTTCGGGGCGCCTGGGTGGCTCAGTCGGTTGAGCGGCCGACTTCGGCTCAGGTCATGATCTCGCAGTCCGTGAGTTCGAGCCCCGCGTCAGGCTCTGTGCTGACAGCTCAGAGCCTGGAGCCTGTTTCAGATTCTGTGTCTCCCTCTCTCTGACCCTCCCCCATTCATGCTCTGTCTCTCCCTGTCTCAAAAATAAGTAAAACGTTAAAAAAAAAAATTAGAAAATAAAATAAAATAAAATGCAGATTTCTGGGGCGCCTGGGTGGCTCAGTTGGTTGAGCGTCTGATTCTTGATTTTGGCTCTGGTCGTGGGATAAAGCCCCACGTTGGTCTCCGTGCCAAGCATGGAGCCTGCTCAAGATTCTCTTTCTCTCCCTCCCTCTGCCCCTCTCCCTTGCTGGCATGTTTTCTCTTGCTCTCTAATAAAACAAAACGCAGATTTCTGGCTTCAATCCAACCTAATAAACCTGAATCTCAAAACGAAGAGCTTACTTAGGGAAATGTATTTTAAAAAGGGTCCCCTGGTGAGCCTTATGTGCAGCTACAGCTATGAATAATTGCAAATGGCTTTGAGAAAACAGAGACCAAAATTACAAAAAAAAAAAAATCTCACCAAGTCCAAACAAGGCTGCTGCTTGACTCCAATTTTTCCCCAAAAGCGTCAGGCCTTCTAAAAAAGTTTACACTTTCTACAAACAGGGTATCTCAGCTGTAGGGACGTGAAAGGCAAAAGAAAACTATGAAGAAATCACAGCTGGCTCTAAGGAACACACCTGTCTTGCTTCCTTTGTAGAATTCAAGCAGCAGAACACAGAAACTCTTTTGCAAGAGGAGCTCAATACAAGGAAAACATGCCAAAACAAGATCAGGGAAGACTTCAGGTATGTGGGGGAAAGAGGGAGGCAACTAGGTTCAAGTACACAAAAGTATTTTTTTTCTGCAGAATTGATACAGAGGGTGAGGGGGAATATCAGTAGAGAGCAGACATAAGAACAGACAGAATTTGTCTTAGGGCTCATGTGCTTTGCTTGTTATTTAGAGAACCAAAGAAGTCCATTACATGAAGGCTCTCATCTTATAGCTCTTTTCACTTCCGGCTGCACTTCCTCAACTACCTCATACCTAAGCATGAACATGGTAGTGAAAATTCTGTAACTTCCTCCTCTACTCTATACCTCAATGAACTCCTCACCTGATACTTTCTAAAATCCAGAAAGCAAGCACTATAAACATAATATCTTTCTCAGGAACACATCTTCACTGCTAGAGATAGATTATTTGACATGAATTCCAAGTGTAGAACATCCTGAAAATACATTTCAATTTCTTACCTAAGAATCTGCTCTAGCAATGAGAAGGTAAAATTTGGTTAAAATACTATTTAAAAAAATGTGAGAAAAGAGTAACAAAGGAAAGGAGGGGAGGGAAGGAGCTAACATTTTCTAAATCTTAACAAGACACCTCAGATTTTATTTATTTATTTTAATATTTATTTTGAGAGAGACAGAGACAGTGCAAGCAGGGGACAGGCAGAGAGAAAGAGAAAGAGAAAATTCCAATCCCAAACAGGCTCCACACTGTCAGCACAGAGCCCAACACAGGGCTCAATCCCATCAACTGTGAGATCAGGACCTGAGCTGAAACCAAAAGTCGGATGTCCAACCGACTGAGCCACCCAGGCACTCCCAACACCTCAGGTTTTATTAAGAACAGGAGGGACTTTTCGTGGTGCCTCACTGGCTCAGTCAGTACAACATGAGACTCTTGATCTTGGGATTGTAAATTCAAGCCCCAGGTTGAGCGTACAGATTACTTAAAAAATAAAAAAAAAAAATCTTAAAAAACAAAAAACAGGGCCTTTGCTAGTTTGCAAACATCACCACCAAATATCCCCCCATAAGATATCTCCCAATCTGACACCCTGGCTCATCCCCATCCCTATCTCCAAAATATACAGCATCAGCTATCAGGCCTGAAAAGTAATTCTATTATTCCAGTGAATACCTAAGAAAATGAACTGTCATATAATTATTAAACTTTATTTGAATTGAACTTATATCTATTTTTTTTTGAACCTGTATGTATTTTCAAAAATAAAATGTTACTTCTTATCGATGTTAGTCCAAGGAACACTATTACTCAAGTGTTAGCCTCTCAAGTATTAAAATACATCTTAAACATCCGTATATTGCTGCAACTCTCAAACCATGAGCTCTCAGGACCCCCCCCAAAAGTAGTAATACACACCCACACCCACCCACCCACCCCCACACCAACCACCAAACCAACCCAAAAAACACCCCATACTTTTTTCTCCCATACAGATTCTGAAGGACAGATAGACTTGGATTCAGAAACTAAGCTCATGCTCACATTTCACCACAGGGAGAGTATCTGAGAGTGATCAGACAGATACTGCTCTCCTTAAAAATGCTAGGCCAGCTACTGGTCACCTCAAAATTAGACACAGGTACTGGTCACTCCCAAGTCAGACTGATATACAATCAGATATGTGTTTGCAAGTGAATTTTAAAAATGAGGGGCACCTGGGTGGCTCAGTCGGTTAAACACCCGGCTTTGGCTCAGATCGTGATCTTACAGTGAGTTAGAGCTCACATCGGGCTCTGTGCTGACAGCTCAGAGCATGGAGCCGGTTTCCAATTCTCATCTCCCTCTCTCTCTGCCCCTCCCCTGCTGGCACTCTGGCTCTCTCTCAAAAATAAATAAATGTTAAAAAAAATACAAAAAATTATTTACCTTGTGTACCATGAGTGGGAAAAAAAATTTTTTTTTAAACTGACACTCAGAGAATGATCCCACCCCAACAACCTGGCTCGCACAAACAACTAAATGTATTTAAAATAAAACAGACTCAACAGAATCCAGCATTCCCTCCTTTTCCAGGCTGTGTTTATTCTTAGGGAAAATACTACAGGGGAACCACAAAGAGGCATAAAACTTGTTTTTTATCAAAGCCATCAGTTCTGACATGTTAGAAGAAGGAATGCAAAGACGTAAGTGGGGGTGGGGTGTTTAGCTGGGGAGATAGTGAAGAGTAAGTTTTTTTCTTACTACAAACTTCCTTACCTCTAGTTCTTTAGGTATAAAATCAGGTAAGAAAAATAAAATGAAAAGGTATAAGATCCTTAGTGTTCTCAACCACGCACCCTAGGGAAATACAACCCTCTACCAGAAACTTCTCAAAGACCCAACTTATAGGAAACAGGGCAAAACACCAGCCATAAATGCTGACAAAACATCAAAATTTTCATCTTGCTTCCACAAATTTTTAAAGTTTTTCTTCTTCAAGTGTTCAATTTATATTCCTAACACTTCTTATCCAATTTTTCCCTCACACACAGCTAGGTAAAAACATGTTTAAGGGTTAGAATATAGATGGGAGGGTAGAAGAAGAAACAGAGCAAAGAAAAACCTGACTCCTATTTCTCAAGTTAAAATTGGAATACATTTTCAAGAGCCCTGGGCAGGACAGAGAAAAATTCCATTCTGCCTCTTTGCTCTTCCAAATTCCTATAGCCAAGTGGCTCAACAGCAGTTGAATGGCACACATAATGACATCATTGATTGGAACTATAATAGAAGAGAGTGAGAAGAGCGGGTGGTGGGGGGGAGTGGGAAGGGAGGGAGGTGAAGATGTATTTGTGTTACAGACAAAAGACAAGTTCTGTTCCTCAGCAGGGACAAATGAAGAACCAGATGAGGGGATAAACTGAGGTCAGAGAGTTTTCCCTATTGTTTCCTCTTTAAACAGCTCCTTCACCACTCCCTCAAGGTTTGTTCCAATGGGCGGGTGGAGAAACAGCAGTTTTTATCTTAGAGAAGAGGCAGGGGAAAAAATGGCCAAATATTCATTTTCAAATTATTATTAATTAGAAGAAAATTTTAAGGACTGGTTAAATTTTAGTTGGACCCCAAAATGCTCCTAAGAAATGCCGAAAACTATGTGGGGTTCATCTTAGCTCTTCCTGAAATTCATCCTGACAGCCACTCTCAAGTGCTATCTGTACCATATATAAAAAACCCATGCAAATCTTTTCTTGTGGGTTAATGTAAGCTCAACATAATGTAGTTTTTCAAGTGGAAGAAGCATTTTTGGGAAAATGCCAATCCAGGATGAGGTGTGCGATGTTCCCCCCCAAACCCCTGCTCAATGAAATACAATGTCTAAGTAGATCTACAATTAAGTTCTTCCCATCTACAATCCTACTATATGCATTCTTCTTGGTCTCATGGGGCCCCATGAGAAAGGCTAACAGAGAATTAAGTAGCGTACTTGGCCTAGGTACTGCTACTTGAGTATATTTGGATGGAAAAGAATCCAAACCCACTTAGCAGGCTACTTTTCCAACTTATCTTGGGATCTAAATCTTCTACCACTACCCTTTTAAAAAATATTCTACCAAATTCCTCACCATAGCTTATGGTTCTTCAGGTTCTTATAGTACCATGTTGGCAATGTCCTATGCGTGGCCCCACAGTTCTTCCTTTGGAAAAGGTTTATATACATATACCTAAACTCTAACAATTTATAGACTCTCTGAGAAAGCTGATGACTATGACTAAATCCATAGTGTGAACTTCCTTCTCTCCACATCCCTCTATACCAAAACCGAATGCTGAGGGGGAAGAACAAACATTTCTTCATTTATTTCAGGTGGTGGAAGGGAATACAGACAGAATCAAATAGGCCTTCCAGAAGAGACTGAATGGAAACCAACCCACCATCATTTAGCCACAGTGAAATCTGTATGCTAGGAAACACTGATGCTCTCCTGTGCCTGGAACTGACTCTTTGTCCCAGCTGCTTCTCTGATAGCTCAACAGATTTCAGTGACATCCTCAAAAAACAAGGAAAGTCCAGTATCTCTCTCACTCTGATGTGGTTCATCCCCAAGCAATGGTGAGCAAAAACATGTAACTACATGAAAAGTTCATGAAACTAATCACTGCCTAACAATCTTCTAACTACCAGCCTCAACAACAAGACAATGATCAATGAAGGGATATTTAATTTTTTAACCTTTTTATATTCGGACACTGTATAATAACACAGACCATAACCATCAGGGAAGAAAACTGGCAAAAATCAAAACACAGGAAAAGCAGCCTTTAGGGTATACAGGCCTCAAGGTAACCCATTAGGACAGTGACCTTAACACAAGCTACAAAGTAGGGAAATCTCAGTAAAATGCCAGCACAGAAATAAGGAAGATATACTAAGGTCAATAGGGATAAAAGATGCCTATAGTTTCTACTACTAATTAAGAACCAAGAAGCAGTAACACATGCCCCTCACTTGTGGGGGAGAAGAGTATAAACTACATTTCAGTTTTCTGCGTAGTGCCTGAGTTTCAGTTTTGTTTTGTTTTGTTTTAATACTTACTGAGCTGGATGTTCTATAACTTCCTAAAGTATCAAGTTTTACTTCCCCCAAATATGCCAACGTTTGGGGAGAAAAAATGAAAACAAAACAATCCAAATTAGCTACATCACTTAACACCATAACTCTAAGCCCAGAGTTTTGATAAAACTAACGTCCTATGACCATCACCTATTAACTGAGCTGGCTTCCCATCTATTCCCTCTATCCATCTCTCACTCCTTTCCAAGATGAGTTTCTTACGTGCCAAGCCGAGTCCTGTCCTTCACCAATAGGACTAACCCAAACACTACTCCTCTTAGGAGACATGGAAAACTGACAGAGACGGGGGAGAAAACAACAACAACAACAACAACCAGTCAAGCACAAGACTGAAAACCTAGCTGGTGATCAATCAGAACCAACCAGGCAGAGGTTATTTTATCTGGGTTTTGTTTTGTTTGAGGGGGTGGGAGGTTTCTCAGCCCATAGTCACCATGAGGCTTATATGAGAAAAGGCATGCCATTCTATCCTCAAATACTCCAAAGAGTTGGAGGGGACAATTTACAGCCTCTTGTGTAAAAAATGTCTATAAATGCCAGTGCCATTCTTTGCCCTGTCACTTCCCATTATCCTAAACCAACAGGATTCTATTCACTGAGACTTGAGCTGGAAACATGAACGGACAGGCCTTTCTTGGGCAGGGGGAAAGGAGGAAGATGATTGGGGGGGGGGGGGGTGAGGAGGAAAGCCAGATTTCTTTAAGTTTCTGTGTACTGCCTAACATGTAAAGTATACTAGTGGAGATGAAAGCTGAAATACACGAGCAGTCATGCAAAAGTCAGCCTAAGAAGAATAACAGAGATTTAGTTTCCTCAAATTTGTAACATGCTCAAGATGTAAATCTAAAATATAAAGAAAAAAATGATCGAATTGTGACAGTTAAAAAAAAAAAATCAGTCATAAACACTATTGACCCATGGCTCACTTCCTCTCACACGCTTTCTCTTTATCATATGCACTGGTCTATAGAGGAATCTACTGAAGAGAAACCAGCAAGCAATCTGGGATTTAAGCTGGATCAAGCAAACACAAACCCCATGCAATGGAGATAACAGGAGGGGGGTTTCTCATTGCCTTTTTCAGAATACTAGGATGAAAAGAGAAATCTCTACACTACCTGCTAACTTCCACTATTTGCATTTTATCTAAATGAATGAGATCTATGCCTAGAGAATTATAAACCTTGAAAGATAGATGACCAAATTATATTAGAGGAGGCTATACTGGAACCCAGGACCCCAGAGTGAGGCGGCCAGAGTATGCTGATCTGGCTGTTCCATAAATACAAACTTAATCAGGTCACTAACCTTGGCCAACCAAATACTAAGTAGCAAATCATCTCTGGTGATAGAGAACAGTTAAGCACAAGATTCTGAACCAAACAACTCTCACTGAGAATGCAGCCAGTTGCAATTTGAGGATCTGGATCTAGAACAACTAAGTTCTGAGGGAAAAGTTACTTGACAAAAAGAGCACTTAGTCCTTCTTATCTCTTACTACTCCCTCTCCTCCAATTTCTCTCCTTCCACATTCACTCTGAGGTTGCATGTATATATTTTAATGTTTATTTTGAGAGAGTGCGCACATTGCATATGTGCATGCAGGAGGGGCAGAGAAAGAAGGGCAGAGAGAGAATCCCAAGCAGGCTTCACAAAGTCAGCACAGAGCCTGACATGGGCTCAATGAAATCATGAAATCATGAAATCATGACCTGAGTGGTTATTAAGAATCTGTAACTGAACCAACTGAGCCACGTGGAGCCCCTAAAACTGCTTATCTTCTATAGGCACTAAAAAATTCTGGGCTACAGAGACAGTGGTCCAAGTATGTGGTCTGATAAAGAATTTCTATGATACTTCCAAGTGTGAAAACTGTGTGAGATATAAGGTAGGCTTGAACTGTCCAATATACATGTAGTTATTTAAATTTAATTAAAATTTTCAGTTTCCAGGCACCCCTAAAAATTTTAAGAAAGCTCTCTCTGACCAAGAGATCAAGAGTCACATGCTCTACTGAGTGAGCCAGCCAGGTGGCCCAAATGAATTAGAAATTTAAAAAACCTTGGGCACCTGGGTGGGTCAGTTAAGCATCCGACTTGATCTCAGCTCAGGTTACAATCTCATAGTTTGTGGGTTCAAGCCCCACGTCAAGCTCTGTGCTGACAGTGCAGAACCTACTTGGGACTCAATCTTTCTCTTTCTCTCTCTCTCCACCCTTCCACCACTCACACTATCTCTCTGTCTCTCTAAAAATAAATTAAATTAAAATTTTTTAACTAGTATTTTGCTACAGAATTTAAGAAAACTACTCTAGAACATATGTATGACAATGAACGTTATCTGAAAACGGAACTCATAAAGTGAGAGTTTTACCAATTACCATTATCTGATTATAATCCTTCAAAGATTAATTTTTTAAATTATTTTTTTAAGTTTATTTATTTTGTTTTAGTAATCCCTACACCCAGCCTGGGGCTGGAACTCACAACCTCAAGATCAAGAGTTGCACACTTTGGGCAAGAGTGCCCGACTCTTGACTTCAGCTCAGGTTATGATCTTGTGGTTGATGAGATGGAGCCCCACGTCGGGCTCTGCACTGACATCCCGGAGCCTGCTTGGGATTCTCTCCTATTCTCCTCTCTCTGCCTCTCCTCTGCACACACATGTGTGGACTCTCTCCCTCTCAAAACAAACATACATTAAAAAAAAAAAGAGTTGCATGCTAGCCAGGTGCCCCAACTCTTCAGAGATTTAAAATAGGAACTGAAATCTTATCAGTGATGAACTAAAACACAAAAGTTAATTACCTCAATTAAAGTCATAAAGCTAGGTGGCCAACAAAACTAAGAAAACAAACATTTATTAAAGGTCAAAGTGTCACTACTTTAGATAATTTCATATACGCATTTCCCCTTCACAAACAGTGTTAGGTAGTTTTACTAGTGTTACTAGTTTACTAGTGTTACTAGTTTACTAGTGTCACTCCCAGTTTTACAGAAGTTTAGTAATTTGCTCAAAGTCACAAAGTTAAAAAATGTATTTATTCATGCTTTAGCTTCTTCCTATGGACTAAAAATGAAAGCAAGTCAAATATGGAGAAAGATTCTAGGTAAGTGAAGTGAAACGGCTGATATCCCTGTAATGAAATACTATGAACATAACTCAGGTGGGCAGTATAAAGTGAGGGGCAAACTCCTCTCAGGAATGTACCCAAATGAGCTACATAGCTGGAGATAGTATGTTCAATTTTGTTAATTTTAATGGAACACACAATTCTCTACAGTGAAGTTACTGCTGAGATTTCTTCCAGGAACCACTTTGCTTGGAAGCTTGTAACTTTTGAGATATTCTCTTTGCATACAATTTCCATTTATTACACTGATTCCAATATGATTCTCAGACACCTAGTCTTCATATACAAAAGGAGACAGATAAGAACTGAGGCCACAGATCCAAGCACCCTTCCCCTTGGCTATCGAGCAAAACACAAAAGACTTGGTTTATTATAATTTTTCCCAATTAAGCTACATGTGGTTTAAGAATCACATACTCTGCCTACTCTGAACTCCTTTTTTTTTTTTAATTTGAAATAGGGGCACATGGGTGGCTCAGTCGGTTAAGCAGCAGACTCTTGATTTCAGCTCAGGTCATGACCTCATAGTTCTCGTGAGTTTGAGCCCCACAATGGGCTCTGTGCTAATAGCACGGGCCCTGCTTGGGATCCTCTGTCTCTCTGCCTCTCTCAAAAATAAATAAACATTTAAAAACATAATAAAAAATAAATTAAAATTTCACATAAACTAGTAAATACCCCTACTGAACACCCAAGGTCTCAGCATCAAGCTGGGCACAAAGACCTGATGTTATGCTTCTGGTAAACATAAAAAATGTAACCTAAAAGGAAGGAAAATGGAGCACACTTTTGTCTGAGAAGCCCCACTGAGTCACAAGTGTTTACTTTTTAGTGCTCAATTTTTCTCCTGAGCAAAAATGTAACAACCACTGTCAGTATTTTCCAATAGATTTTCAGAGAGTTAAATGTTTCCATACTCAAGTAAGAAATGACTTTTTTTTAGGTTTATTTATTTATGTAATCTCTACACTCAACATGGGGCTCAAACTCACAACTCTGAGATTAAGAGTCGCATGCTCTTCCAACTGAGCCAGGAGGCGCCCCAGGGACTTTTTTTCTTTTGACAGTTCTTCTGGTTTGAAGTAGTCTTCCTTAACCCTGTCCCCATTTCAACAACCAAGAAACATGCTTTCATTCTCACAGAACAAAGATTAAGAGACTACCTGCTCTAGGCAAAGGAGAATCCTCAGCATTTTCGCCAATGTGCCTGGCAAAACTCCAAATACAACAATGCCCTGTAGAACTGATTGCACCACACAGCAGGTGTTATCTTGCTTAATAAACTCAATAGTGTCTGTTAGCAGAGGAGCAGAAAGAATGAAATAATTTTCTCATTTTTGTTCCAGGAAACCTTCAAATTTTGTTTCTAGGTACCTTTGATCTAAAGA